AATAAGACTCAATTTTACGCGTTTAATTTATCGATTTTATCAGTCATCAATATGATTGAATTTGAATATCAATATTTTCCTGTTACAAAATTTTAATGGAATACGCAATCAAAATCGATGAGGTTATAATTTGTTATGTGTCATATATTATCAGCAAATAAGCAGTTCCTATGGAAGATATAATGAAATATTTGCCTGTTAGACTTGTTTTTACGATGAGATTTTATATAAGATAATTTTTAAAAATACTATTGTAATCCGCCGTCGACAACAAAGAAATCTAAATTTATTATTATGATTAAGAAAATTTTCAAGGATTTTGATCTTTGATTATTGTACTGATTGTGTACTGAACATTATTTGAACATTAGAACTCCATACAATATTATTAAAATTTATTGAATAGAAAATTAAAAAGACATTAGGTTTAATGTATCTTCCCTTCGCAGTTTAAGATTCAAATTAGATATAAATTTCAATTATCGATTTTTCTTACCGATTTTGGAACCAGACTTGCACCACCCGCATGTCCAGGCCGGTGTCTTGCGAAAGCTGCTCCCTTACATGTCTGGCTGGTTCGGGCTATTATTAGGCGCTTTTTTCAGGGTCTCTAACTGTTTGGCCGTAATTGTCGTCCTGGGCCTCTTGTTTGGTTGATCTCCATCCAAAAACTGCCATCCAATAAGTACAGACCTGCGTCCACGTACAGAGAGAAACCATTGTTAACATCACTGCACTGCAGTGATTAGCTAAAAAGAGGCGATCTATTGTTGAATACTTTGTTGAACACGATTTAGGCCCCCGCGATGAAGAATGTGAGATTGAAATTCTTGAATTGAAAAAAATGCAGGAAAATTTGAAAAAAATTGAAGAATAGAGCTTAAAAATGCTTTACATATAAAGCTCAAATATGTCGTTGGAATTAAATTTGTATTCTGCTAATTTTAAAATTTCTTCAGTTTTGCCCAATTTTTAAATAAATTCGGATTCCCAAAAATGCTAATTAATTTCGTGAATAGATTGATTTTTATCTTGGCAATAATGACAATAATGACTTTAAAATATTTTATATTGACGATTTTTGATATAAGATACTTGCAGCGAATTAGAATCGCTCTTGTTAGCTTTTTCTATCATGCCACATAAATACAATAAATGCTACACTTAAATATAAATAATACACAATTAGTAACAATATCATGGTCCATATGAAAAATAGATAAAATATACATAATACGTAAAATGTAAATCATTTCTTCGAGTTCTTCTCTAATTTAAATGAATGCGGTTTACCATGTTTTGGATTATAGTTAGGTTTTAATCTTTATCAATTTTCTCTACAAATACAAATATATCTGATTGATACTAATAGTACCATTAACCTTATGAACCCGAATTATCAAAGTTATCAAAGTGGAATTCCTTTTTCAATCGTTTTTGTCTCACAAACTTTCTGATAACATATGAACTCTCCAAGTAAACTATGAACTTTCTCTGATAGACGACATTAAGGACAATTTTTTGATAAAATATAAATTTAAATTAGTACCATGTTTACACACACTATTTTTGGCAAAGAAATATTTTACTTTAATAGATGGCAACTGCACTTTTCATTTATTTTCAAAAACTTATCCTTTTTCTCTTGGGAACAATATTAATAATACTCCAGCCATTATAGTAAATTCACCTTGGAATCGAGATACTCAGCTGTAAGTCTGTAATACTTGTATTTTGCACCCTAAAAGTTATCTCAAAACCTACATATGTTGCGTACACCCTACCATATGTAGGTTTTTGAGACAACTTTTACGGTACAAATACAAGTATTTACAGACTTACATCTGGGATCTCGAATTCCGAAATTTTTACCTAATTTAAGCTTAAATGACTGGACTATAAGGCCAGGAGCCAATTCTCGGATAAAATAAATGTTATGCTGATGCTAGGTTACGGGTTTATATTCGTATGAGTTGGTAGTCACAAATAGTTTAAAAGCAATGTATTTGCTATGCAATTAGGTATTTTACACATAAAACCTGGCATCATGTATGTATTATCTGAGAGACATCAAAAAGTTGGTAATTGTTTTTGGCAAATTCGTCTTTTGGACGTTAGGTTTTATGTGCGATACGTCTGATTAGCAACTCATACAATCATATAATAGCAATATAGCATTACTATAACATTTTTATTTAGTCCGAGAATTAGCCCCTTACTTCCCTAATGTTACTTCCAAGTAAATGTGGATATATTTTTGAGAATAAATGAACATTTAGTTGATTTCCATTAAAGAAAAATGTTTATTTTCGTCAAAAATGTGCGCGTGAATCAAAGTTGGTGTATTTAATTTTAAGTTATTGATTTTTTTTGAACTCAAAATTATCTAGAGGAAACAGTTTCAAATACAAAAAAACTGCTATAGAGATGCCCAAGTGTATCAGCAATTATAACATAGAGCCTTTGTTCATTTTTTACATCGTTTGGCATAATCGTGCGTTTTGGAGGTTAAGTTTTATGTGTAAAACGTTTGGCTACCAATTCATCATAAGCGAAAAATATAGCATTACCACAACATTTCTATTTAATCCGAGAATTGGTCCCTTACTTATCCAGTGTTGCTTCAAAGTGAAGATGGATATATTTGAAAATAAAAGAAAATATAGCCATCCATAAAGTAAAATATTACTGTTTTGTCAAAAAAATGTGTGTAAATCAAAGTTAGTGAATTTAATTTAATTTATTGATTTTCTGTGAACTCAAAACTATTTAGAAAAAAAATTCCAAATCCAAATACCTGCTATAGGGGTGCCAAAGTGTATCAGCAATTACAAATAAGTGTATCAGCAATTACAAATTAAAACTTTTGTTCATGTTGGGCGTGAATTCAATAAATCGCCTTCTACAACTACTATTCCTTATTACTATTTCTACTAAAATTTTGGGACACTCACACTCACCTTTGGCCTTCGCGGCCTCGTAGTCCGGCTTGCAGACCAGTTTTCTGTCTTCCATCAGGTAGAATTCGTCCCCGGTGTTGAGCTGTCTGGCGCACATGGCGCAGCAGAAGCACTGCAGGTGATAGACATGCTCCTGCGCCCTCCGGACGACCTGCGTAGGCGGGATGCCCAACTCGCACCCGGAACACTTCGTGCCGTACCGCCTGCACCGACAGCGCGCGCACACATGCGAAACACACACGGTTATTGCGATGCACAAGAAGTAATAGACACAGGATAATAGATTTTTTTATCCACAATTTAGACTAGATTCCAAAATAATTTTGAACCTACCATCATCATCCCCAAAAACATGTATATAATTTTTAATGATACTATTTTAAAGTAGAGGGCAAAAGATGTATTACCAGCCATTACCTTAATATTTTTGACATCGCTAACAGGAGATAAAGGAACATGTATCAATACTCAAAACTATTTTTTTTTCGTCCGAAGTTTTGAGCACTGTTATTAACTTACCGTAAGGCAAGTTATAGTAATCGCAAAAAATCGAAAATGAAAATTTTTATATATCTTTACGTTTCAAAGGTTTCTGAATATTTTGGCATACCTTAGAAAAAATGGATGTATGTATGTGTGTATGTATGTGTGGTGTGTGCGTGTGTGTATGGGTGTGCGGATACAAAATTTCGTCGACGATTTCGGAAACACCGATCAACCGTTTCAAATAATTTAAAAAACATTCGATTAGTACTGATAAGGAGACGTGCTGATTAGTTTTTGGCAAAGGCAGGTCTAGCGGTTCTAAAGATACAGGGCAAAAAGTGCCGGAAATAGTAACTCAGTTTTTGAGAGAACGGAGCGTCCGATTTTAATATTTCAAAGAACATTTTATTTGTATTGACAAAATGAAGAACTGTTCAAATTTTGGAAAAGCAGGTCCAACGACTTTGGAGGTATGAAGGAAAAAGTAAAAAAATGAGCCATTTGGCGGTCAAAAATGATCATTAGACATATGCACATCAAATTATCAGATATTTTATAGAGATTTTAACAATAAGTATAAATTTTTATTTACATTCCTATAGGTTCCGTACCAATGTTAACGCGTTAGACGGCGATGCCGCGCTTACGCGCTTTGACATCTCGTCTCTATGCAATTAAAGCAGTGCGATTGCTTTGAAAAATAAAGTCAAATTAAAGAAAACTATTTTTTTTTTAAAGTAATTTTTTGTCAAATTTATAGTTTCTCAAAAATCTATTTTTTTCGTAATAAAATGCCATGCGCGCCACTAGTTAAGTTTATGATACCTAAATATAACTTTTAATTAAAAACCATTTGATTGCTTTATAAGATCTATTGTTATTTATAAGTAAGATTCAACGGTTTTTCAATACCCTATATAAAAGTTTACATGTGGTTAGAGTAAAAAGTACCAACTGAACATGACAAAAGGTAAACAATCAAAAAATTGAAATTTTTCTTAACATTATAGTTATTCTTATTTCTTATTCAAGAATAACGCATTTAAAATAGTACATTTATTTATTCTCAAATATTTTATTTTAGGCACCGACAAATTACCCTTATGTATCTAGAACTCTGATGCTATCATATACAATTTGTCTAGAAAATGATGCAATCATTTTCAAGTATTCATAATAAATTCGAAGATATAATAATGCCTACTAAAGCCACATTTCAATAACGTCAATTTTCTTTCATTAAATTTTATATTTGGCCTTAAACATAAACAATATACTTGAAATTTCAAGTGCCTATTAAATCATATTCAATACAGCACAATCATTACATTGCATTAATTTTGCGTAGTTTTATTAATAAAAAAATATCTTGAAGTTACATAAACTTGTAGAAGACAAAGTTAGACACATTTTTTTATCAAAGTATCTACTTATATTAGAGTTGATTTCGTTGAAGTAGATACTTATATTAAGTTTTTATTTTTTACTCGAATTATTTTATTATAAAACTGTCAAGTACTTTAGCATTTTATAATCCTAATTAAATAGTAGATTTAGTAATAGTAGATTTTTAATAACGGACCAGTGTTGACCAATTTTGAAAATTTTAGATTCATAGCTCAACAAAAAGTCTTAATTCTAGAAAACCTGGGGCAATTGTATCATTATTTTTGACTGTGGTCTTAGAAATTCTATTTACGATTACAGGTACAAAGTTTAAAAGAACAAAAACAATGAAAACTAACCATAATAACCGAAAAATGGTTACAATTTCACTAAAGATTTAAGTACTTATAGTATCTAAAGCTCTGTATATTATGATTAATAATTGAATTTTGAAAACATGTTGATATGAAGCAAAATAAAAAAATATATGATTGGCGCAAAAAATATAAATTTTAGGGCTTTTTGGGTTGGGTATCATTAGTATAAATAAAAATATAAATATGAATTCAAAATTTTTGATGAAATATAAATTTTAGAGCTTTATTAATTATGTCAGGTATATTCAAAGAGTGTATGGCAAAATTGCAGTATTTTCATTATTGATTTAATAATTTAATTATATTCTGTAGCAGATCAGAATAGTTTTTAAAGTATTTCACGAGTTTTGTCAATATTTTTTGTAGGGATTCTTAAAATTAGCTAATGCCTTCACATTTTAATAAAAATATTGACGGTTTGTTCTATTAATTTTTAGAACTTTGCCAAAAAGAAGATTTATCACAGCAGAAATTATTCAGATAAATACATTATTTCTTCACAGATGTAGTTATTGTAATAAAAATTTAAATATGCTACTTTCTGGTACTAATGTAAAATAAATTGCAATACAATCATTAGGAAATGCCATCAAATTGATCAGAACCAGAATGCGCATGACCAGTCTTCGTCAGTTTCGGATAGTTTAGGCTTGGAAGGAATGAACCCATTTGGGCTAGTTATATTAACAATGATTGAACTATTAAAAAAGTTCAGAATCAAGGGTGTAAAAACCAAAATGTAATGAATCATTGGCTTTTCCTTTCCAATCTGAATCTCCAATCGCAATTAAAATACTTGTCGGAAAAACCGTACGATTTTCAAATGCAAAATCTCGTGATAAACACGGATATAATATTATCAGAGATACAAACTCGCTATTTTTAAATTCGAAAACGATCGTTCCATCATCGTCGTATCGTATCGATGATAAACTAGAAGATGCCCGTCCGATGTAGTTCTGTGACCCCGCACACACTTGTCTGTTATCAAAGCGATGCTCCTTGTCTGTTGTTTATTATCGTGAATTCTTATCAAGCGCCGCCACACAGAAACTACACATATATATATATATATATATATATATATATATATATATATATTTATCAAGTAGCGCGTGAGATTGTGTTCTTTTACGGATTTCTCTCTAAAACACGGCAAACGGATCATGAATGTACGAGTTTATTACATTACAGCTGTTGTTATGTCATTGAAGTTAGGGATTACATAAGTTTATCGAACTGACAAAAACTAAACAGTAAAGATATTATGTTAAATCTATGTTATACTATAGAGCGAGATTATTAGAGCCCTTGCCTCTCCCTTGGAGATACATGGTGATATTTTAAATTAAACCCCTACTTTTTTTCCCAATCTACAAAAAAGGTAACTTTTAGACTTTTCAGAGAAAATCTGGATTTTTATAAATTTCAGGTAAAAAATATATATTTGTGATATCTTTCCAAGCCCCCCTCCCATACTTGATATTTTATGATTTGATTAAACCCTTCCCCGTTAAGCTTCACATGATTAATAGACGCCCTGTTAGCTAGTTTATTTTTATTTTAATAACAATATTTTCTCTCAATTTTGTGATAAAATACTGAATCCGTTGAATCAGAAATAAAAGCTCACTCGCTCTCAACTTAGTTATTAGCTACAGTCGAAGGTAAAGAGTAAAAGCTCTTTCGCTTTCATCTTAGTTATCATCTACAGTCAAAGATAGAGAGCTCACTCTAGATATAAAATCCGAAAAACATTAAGTCAATTATATTTTTCACCTACGTTAATCCTATCAATTGCTTTAATATTACCAAAAGGATGTTATTGATAATTAATTTATTTAACTCAATAATTTAGCAGTAATACTTACTTAAAGAAATCTTCCTTGCAGTAGAGTTGTCCATTCCTCGCAAAGCATTTGTCTGCGAGTTGGGCACCACATTCGCTACATTGCAAACATTTTGCATGCCAAGTCCTTTCCAATACTTTTAATATAAATCTGTCTAATATTAATTCATGACAGCCCCCGCATTTTGGAATACTCGCTGAAAAAATATAATTGGTGAAGTTAGATCATTGATAGAAATATGAACAAAAAGTTTATGGGGAAACAAATTTTTTGATTGATACATATATTATAAATATTTTTGCAATAATAGTGATTTCTATGTTTTTTATTCAAAATAATTAAAAATAATTTATATAATATATATATATATATATATATATATATATATATATATATAAATGTTGCAAAAATGTTGCATCCAATCATATAAATATGCATACATAATACACACACATGCTTCCATTTTTGGCAAAAAACCTCCTTCTTTACTTACCCTAATGAAGAAGTTCAAAATAAATAGGATTAGCATAATATCATAAAAATAGCATTATAATCTAATTTTGAATACAAACTTTTTTACATTTTAAAATTAATATAAAAATGTATAATAAAATATAATGTATATCTTGTAAAATCATTTACATATAAATGTATCAATTTTTAAACCACTTAATTCATGATTGTTCATTTTCCATATCTAAAAACACGAATATTAAATAATAAATATATATAAATAATATAAGATTAGTATATAATTTAACTTATATCCAATCTTATTAGTCATATAAAATTAAAACTTACTTGGTGAATTTTAATTAAACTAAATTAAAAATAAATTACCCATTTGCATTTTTGCAAATTCAAACACTAAAAATGATGTTTATATTTAGGATAATGTTCACTACTAACTGCGATATCTCTTTACGATTTCTTATATACTAAAATTTGATAGATAATAATTACGAACGCGTTTTATCGAACAGATGCGAAAATTTAGTTAGTGTATAATAATACTATATAGAAAATCTAAAGAACTCAAGATATAATCTGTGATGTTGTATTGAATTTTATTTTATTGTAGACAGTGAAAAATCTGAAGTATGTACTTAAAATTTTCAATGGAGAGTATTGTATTAACTTTTTTCTGCTCGTGTTATTTAATAGCAAATCATTTGATTTGTTCTGTTACTCTGAAAAACGTTTATATATTTTTTGACAAAAAATCCTGAACGCTTAACTTTAAATGAATCAAGTTTGGTGACCTCAACCACCCAGAATGCATTTTCATTTTTGCTCTGCCTTTTGTGATTATCGATTTATTTTACGATTTGTATTAAGTAAAACGCAATTTACCAGTGCTTTTAATGCGAGCTAATTATTGCGTCATTTGCACACCTAAGAATTTATTGTTTTCAAATGCCATCTCAATTGTTTACATGTAATATTTGTAACATGGAATAAAGTTGATTGAGAACTTATCGTAATAGGTGTGAATATAAATGTTCATTACACACGCAATATTTTTTTATTTAAAAGGCCTCGTTTCTAAAGATTTTTTTACCTCTGGATTTTTGATATCAAGGGATTAGTCGGTGTTAGAACAAGTGTTAAACATGTAATTGACGTAAAACAAACAAGATTCATAAGATCAGTTCCCTTTCACGTTATCAAGGCGTGATACAATCATCTAAAAATGTACTTGAATTCAAGAACCTGATGCCATTTGCAAGATTCTATATAAACATGTGAACTGTGCGTGAAAGGCTTTCAAGAATTTTCATTGAGTTCCAATTAAGTTTATAAGTATTTTTGAGAAGATTGGAATCGGATATAAGATGGTTTTTCGTAGAAGATCGATAATTCGTAACATAATTCAAACAAATTTTAAATATAAAATTTGTTACTTATTACCCTGAATTTAATAATTTAGAACATATCTTGATACTTTTAAACTATTGGACTAATGGCGATCGCAAATTATATAATATACACATTATTTTATACCAGTAAATGTATGTATTTGTTTAATAATCAATGAAATCTCAAAAAAATATTCAATATACTAATAAATTGCTCTACAAAATATTTTAAATATATTTTTAATGATTTCAGACTCAAACTGCCAGATTTTCTGATTTTTATGAGCGATATGATCATAAACTGATATTTACAATTGCCCAATAAATCAAAGCATAACAACAAAAAGTGCTTTCATCATGATGTCTGGATTTTGTTCCAAATATTAATATTTATGATCCCAAACAATATACCCTGAGAATGACTTTTCGCGACTTTTATCCACGGTGTCGTTGTGATATCTTAACTAAACGATAAGGAACAGCAAAACCAACAGAAAATATGTTTAATATTAGATTAGTATCTTATTTACGTAATATTTCGTAGCGGGTCTAGACCAAAGAGTAGTAAATGAAGGTCGCGATAAGAAAGCTTTCTACTAAATTATTCTGTCTGAACTGAATCATTTAGAAACCAAGCAAAATACTGACCAATTTTAACATTGATATTTGAAATATATTTGTAATTAAATGGTGCATCTATTTGTTAAGCAAAATAATTAGTTTTTATTATATTTACATGTTTAATGTTAGAATTGCTGAATGAGGACACCCATTTAGTACTAAACGTACGAAATAAGTATCATTTATATCTAGTATTAATTAGTATTTAGTATGGCAGTAAGTATATCATCGTCAATTTACTGTATTGAAATGATTATGGGTTAATAGATTTTTGCAAGTTTCATAGAGATTTTCAGACTTTGCCAGTGCTCATGATTTATTTTGTAAAAAGGACATCCAGGAAATAATATATTTAAATTCTAAACTTTTATGCTTTTTATAATATATGCTTTGACAATCTTTCTTATTATCAGTACACTATTACATCATATTTATTTTAATGTCTTTAATTTTGAGCTTTTGGATGAATTGGTTGATAGATGAAAATGTAATGAACATTTGTGCTGTTTGGTCGAGATCTTTGAAAATTGATATACAGACATTAAAATTTTCATTTCTACTTATATAGTTGGTCTACTAATTTTAGTAATGCAATAGCAAAAATTATATTTATTATATAATACAATGCATATTACTGTAGTAATTAATATAATGAATTTTTTATAATGCAATTAAAAAAGGTTTCATTGACAATATATATTTTTAGCAAATTTTTTACTAACTGTTAATATACTACACTTTAGTAAAATATGTATAGATTTTGTAGATTACGAATGTAGATTCAAAACTACTTAATTAAAAAATATCAATTTTTATCAAACATAAATTTTGATCATATGATTCGAACTCAAGAGGCTTGTCCGAATTCCATGATCAATTGATTCGCAGATATTAATTAGATATGTTTATTAATCTATTTTTTAAATATAGATATATTTATATATATGATTATGGATTCTAATTTTAATTATTCCCGGAAAACTTAACTTAAACTTAATCTTACTATATGGTATTTGTTTCAAGACGCGTTTATTTTTTGATAACAATAAGGTATTTAATTTATATTTAGTATTTTATTGTTAGAAAAATTCAAGTCAATTGAACAAAATTGATTTTCCTAACATCAATCTATATTCTAATTAGAATCACAATATAAGCAGGATATTTGCTTCACAAATTATCCATTATATTGACTTTATAATCAGAAACTAAGGATAGCTTTGCTTT